TTTTCTCCCAAGTGTCATCCCATCCCTTCATCCGTTTTTCCTGTTTCATTCCTTCTTTTTCTCCTTCCTTCATGTCTATTTCTTTCTTTCTTTTTTCTTTTTTCCTCTTTGTCTCTCTCTAGCCTTCTTTCTCTCTGACTCTCTGAGTCCTTTTTCTTTTGCTTTTCTTCTTTATATTTTAATTTTTTTTCACCAGGATTGTCAATCTACACCATCCTTTCGGGATATTGAATCCATTTCAAATTATATTTTGACTTAGAATAGACACTTCTTTTATATATTCACTGACCTGTAGTACTAGTATTGCTAAATTGACCTTGAAGCTGACTTTAAAGTTGACTTCAATGTATTTTCTACTCATACAACCACACTTTATGTGATGGCATTTTTTTCCTCCTGGTGCATATCAGACACTTTTACCACCCACTGTCTGCACAGGTTGCTTCCCTTTGCTCAGTGGTTTGCGTGGGCCCCTGTAGGCCCAGCCTACCTGCCAGATTTTATAGACAAAGGCCTGCAGTGAGAACTGACTGTGTCTGGCAGCAGGGTCAGCTCCTAGCCCCAGATCCTCATAGCCCTCCTCCTGTGGGTCTCTGGTGAGGAATTTATACTGAAATCTCTTCAGAGTAACATCTATGCAGTTGAAAAAATATGTTTAGATATCATTGGATAAAAACTATCCCAAATATGAACCTAATTATGCACCAATTTGTAATAACATTTAAAAATAAATTTTACAAGAGAGATGGCAATGTGTACATGATAAATTGATTGTGCATGCATGCGTGTGTGTGTGCATGCGTGCTGTCCTTCTCTATGTCCAGCTGCAGGAGCCTATGGAGATATCACGGTGACCTCGTCTCCACACTCTTCTCCTGCAGCTGTAGAAGAGCCCGTTCCCATCAACTGCAAGTGCAGCCCATGTTATTTTTGGAGCAACAGCAGTAAGAAGAGCTGAACCTGGTACCAGCAGACACCTGAAGGGGGTCCCGGGCTGCTTGTGTCTTGGGCATCTACTCGGGCATCTCAGACCCCTGAGTGGTTCAGTGGCAGTGGGTCCGGGTCAGATTTCACTCTCCCCATCCACACCCTCCAAGCGGAAGATGTGGGCACTTAGTACAGTCAGCAATGTTATCACTGCCCTCTCACGGTGCTTCAGCCTCATACACAAACCTAGCCAGGGCATGGCTCAGGGGCCCTGCTGCGCTGGCCTCACCCTCTTGAGGTTTTAGATTTGAGATTTGCAAGGAAAGATTTTCCCCTTCTGACATTGCCAGTTTTGCAGGTAACCCACTACTATTATGGACTACTGGACTATATTGGATCATTTTGCTGAATTCATGCACCTACAATATTTGAATGGTAATGGAATACCCATCTCTGACAAAACTAAACAAAAAAGGGGATATAAATGAAGGACCATTTTGTAGTGAAAAATGTATATCTTTATATACAAAATACTTAGGATAGATATGCAGCTACTTTTTATTAGTTCAATGAAAAGAAAGGTTTGTACTAATAATGTACTAATAGTACAAGATATCATGTCTGCATCTTGTACTGTGAATAACTACTATGAAGACAACAATATATTACAATGTATTAATTATTGTAACTGTTCAAATAACCTGTTTTGAAATTGTCTCATTGCTATTTCTTTCTCAATAAAATTAATTAAATTTGAAAAAAAGATTTTCCCTAGAGAGCACTATGGCTATTCCTCACTATGGTGACATGGAGGAGCCAAGGCCAGGATTGTAGGCCTCTTATCTGAGCCAAGTACTTTAGAATATACTTTGTGCAGGGAGATCAACCAAAAGAGATAAATTCCACACTGTCTGCAGCAGATTTTAGAAAGTGCTCATCATGAAAGTCCAGTCCTGTACAGGGCCACAGCACATGCGACTCTCCTACCAAGCAGATCCTGGGATATACATATATTTGTCAAGTTCAGTGTCTGGGAGGATAAGGGACACCCTCCCTGCTAATGAGAAAAAGGAACAACTCTCCCTTCCCAAGTGGTGATCATCAGAGTTTTCTACCTTTAATGTGATGGAGTGGAGTTAATCAAGAGCTCCCGGCCTCTACTGTTACCAAGGGCACTGGAGGAATGTTAGGAACCAGTGTTAGGTGGAATCTTATCCCCAGACCTTGGGATTAGACTCATCATGGGCAATCAAGTCAAAAGAACTCAGGTAGAAATCCTGGAAGCTTCTAATTTAAGCAAAGGCCCAGCAGGACTCCACAGGAGTGTAAATCAAAGACAGACAGACACTTTCCTATTCCACAACTACTAGGAACTGAAAGAGAGATCAAAGGAAATTGGACAATGGAGAGAGAAAAAATTGTGAAAAGAAGCTGCAGAACAACACTGCCAAAGCTTTTGTTTATTTTTATTTTTACTGTGAAAACACCTGCTTTAAGGAACCTGGTCGAAGAGCTGAATAAGCAAGAGCCTAGAGTCAAAAGAACTAGGCAGGGGAAACACCTGCCTCTGGAAAGAGGCCCGGTCCTTACACCTCTGATTGTTCCAGATATTTAAGATCCTGTTCTCCTGCTGCTGAACTTCAACAAGCACTAAATGTGAAATGAAAGCAAACAAATCTGATTTCCTCAAGTGAAGCAGAAAGAACCCAGTTGTGAATTTAAACAAAGAGCAGGGAGATGGCAAAACCTCTTAGGAGTGAAATTAGAGTTTCACTCATTCTTTGTTTTGTTGCCATGGAAATTTGAAAATTCCTTAGTCAACATACTCTCTCTGTCTGTCTGTCTGTCTGTCTGTCTGTCTGTCTGTCTCTCTCTGTCTCTCACACACACACACACACACACACACACACATATACACTTCCTCATGTTATATGGTATCCTAGTCACCTCATATAATTTTTGAATTGGATTGCAATAATTTAATTTAGTAATATTTTCTATGAAGAAAAAAATGCAAAAACTATTGAGGGAAAATACAGGATGGGATTCAAATTGATTAAGTGAAAAATTACAACATGCTTGAGTGTAGGAGTCACTTCCAGGTCCTTGTCTCAGTCCAAGAAGCCAATATTTATAATCCCAAAGTTACGTTATTGGAATCCCATCAGGTTGATTCCAATCTACCACTTTCAGTGCAACCCACAGTGAAAATAAAGACACTAAATTATATTTTCAGTCACTGGGAAGTTGAAGGGCTATAAGTCCAGCCACAAAGATGGCTTCCTGGAACAAAGAGAGTAACCCAGGGCCTCACCCAGTTTTATTCAGTGGAGGAGTGGCTTGAGGAGGATTGACTGAGAATTGTGGGAAGTAGGTGACTACTATGAGCTGAGCCAGGTGGGTGGACTGCATTTACCTTCACTCTATGCAGAGAGGATATGCAGAGAAAGTAATCTGCATTATACTGCTATGCCATAGAGATAGCATCTAATGGGGGTCTGGTGCTTCAGGTTTGATGTAGTCTTTCAAGCCCCAGGAAGTCATAGCCTCTGTCTTGAGGCTTGATCCTAGTTGGCAGCGCAGAGCATTAGTTCTGCCGTTCTGTTTCGATCCAGCTCACATTAAAGAGCAGCAGGTTTACCAGGGAAACACGCACCACGCAGGCCACCTTCAAAGACTATCACCAGCACCTCAGCTAGACCAATACACATTGCTTAAGGCCACTGAAGGATAAACAGAAGTCCCAGCCAGCTCTGTACAGAACAATACGAGGAAATAGGGTCAGGCTCAGTCAAAAGGGAGACAGTCGCTCTTCTTTCAAGGAGAGCTGCTCAGGTGGTCCTCCACACTTGAGGGTCAAAAATAATTCTGGATTGCTGCTAACATTTGAAGTACAATTAAATACTTTGTATGAGGTATGGAATATACTGAGATTTCAATTATATCCAGCTCATTAATCTTGTTTCAAATTTTAAGTTCCTATACTTTGAACATATCTATATCATTATTATGATTTATTCTAAATTATACATTTAGAAATTCTTTATAAAAATGGTGTCATGATTGTCAATGTGATACCTCTAAGAATGGTCTACGGCATAATTTCTTTTATTTTTTCATTCAAAATCAAATTATCTTTTTGTTCTGGGAAGCCATGAATCTTATTTGTTGCCTATGGACTCTTAAAAAATTATTTACAAGATTTCTTTGGGAATTGGGAGTGTCTTCCTTCAAGGAGGTTTTAGCTCGGTACCTAATCATTGGAAATGCTATTTTACACTAATTTCATGACTGCTGATTCCTGTGTTCTCTAAATCAGAGTCAACATTGGCCAAGGTGCTCTGAGCCCTTATGTCCCAATTAAATCTTTTTCTCTCTCTCCATTTCTCCTTTCCTTTGATTCCTCTTTTCAGTTCCCAGCAGTTGTGGAAAGAGACATTATCTGCTCATCTTTGGATTATTTTTACATGGAGGAATCCTGCCTTCCCAGATTCAGTTCAATTAGAGGCCTTCAGGATTCCTTGCAGAGTGAGTTCTGGGTCTGTCATCCGGCTCTGTGGCCCATGCCCTGGGGGGAAAGGTGCTCCACCATTTCCTGTGCTCAGCTTCAGGATAAATGTGGCTTTCAAAAAGTTTTTTAATAGTAGAAAATATAAATTTGCTTAGAAGTTGTCATATTCCTTTTACTTTTCCCTTTTTCCTTTCCTCTTTGACCCCCCTTTGTTTTATTTTTTATATTCTTCTCTCAAGCATGTTTTGTTATGTAACTATGTTGATAAGGAGTAGTTGGCCTATTAGTCCTGTAATACACAATCTATTTGATTGTTTTCAGTTAAGATTACAGTCCTTACTTAGGCCATGTAGTGTTCATAATTGTAGAGCTTTTAAAATAATCTCAGAGTTTCTGAATTCTCAACTGTGCTTTCGTTGGCACCCAGTACACTTTCCATGTTGGTATTTTTAGCTCTTCATTTAATCGTTTACTTTCATAACTCATTGCCCGTGAAATCTACTTCCTTGTTTGCTAGTGAATTTTCATAGGCTCATCGAGGACGAGCCCAACTTCTCAGACTTTATAAACGAGGCCTTTAGAAGGAGATCTGAGCTCCACTAGGGAGTCAGGGGCAGCAAGATGATGTCGCAGACCCAGGTGTTCGCGTGCCTGCTGCTCTGGGTCTCTGGTGAGAAAATGCACATTTCCAATGTCACTTAGGGTAGTATCTTCGTAGAGCTGAAGTTATGATTTTAAAATAGAAGGCAAAGTGATATGATCCAAGCATCTATTAATTTACTATAACATTATAATGGACTTACTTTAACTTATTTTTTAAAGGATATATCATGTGCATATGTGTGTGTGTTTAAACGTCATGCATTCCTGATTGCAGGTGTCTGTAGTGACATTGTGCTGACCCAGTCTCCAAGGACTCTGGCTGTGTCTGCTGGAGAGAGCGCCACCATCCACTGCAAGGCCAGCCAGAGTCTTCAAAGTGGTAGTTACAACTACTTAGCCTGGTACCAGCAGAAACCAGGACAGTCTCCCAGACTGCTCATCTACTTGGCATCCACCCGGGCATCTGGTGTCCCGGACCGGTTCAGTGGCAGTGGGTCTGGGACGGATTTCACTCTCACCATAAACAACGTCCAGGCAGAAGATTTTGCTGATTATTACTGTCAGCAGGATCGTAGCTACCCTCCCACAGTGATTCATCCTTGAACAAAAACTTCCCTTCAGGCCTCCCCAGCTGCTTGCTCCTCATTGGGCACGAACGCTTCCTCCAGCTGCCTGAGAGACTGTACCCTGTTCAGTGCCCCAGAGATTCTACAGACCTTAGCAGAATGTAAAGGAGCTCTATGTCTCCTGGAACCTTTGCTATAGGAAAAGACAACCAAATTACTAGTTGTAGCTTTGTATTCTTTTATAAAAAATTTATAAACTCATTTCTTTTATGAGAAAGAAATTCATTAATCTGTAGTTGTGTAGGAAAAAGCCTAACACTGGACTCAGTGAGCTAATGTCAACCCTCTGTGAGGCTGCTGTCCATTTGTGTGCTCTGGGATGAAATCCGGCTGTTGCCTTCCTGTGTCTTGCGTTTCTCACGCTCCTTGCTGATGGCCTCTTCCTTCATCTCCAGAGCCAGCAGCACGCCATCTCCCTGATACTTGTTCCATGGGGACATTTCTTTGTGAATATCCCTATCTGCTTTCAAATGAGGACCCTAACAAAACGTACTTACCTTTAATGGAGAATATAATTTTGTATTCAATAGTACATACTCTTTTTATACTATAAATGTCCCTGAAAGAAACAGCTTTCTAGGGACCACCCGCTTGAGGGCCCCCCTTCTGTCCTTCTCTAAGACTGGAGCTTTCTTTCTCCCAACAAACATACTCTGCTCTTAACCTCCATTTGTTCCTAAAATCCATTCTTGGGTTTTAGAGAACACAAACTCTTCCAAGGTATCTTTCAGGTAGGGAGTTTCATTTTCCCCCTATATCACTTGTTAAAATATTGTAAAACATAAGAGATAAGAAGGAAAACAACTAATTATAAAGAAGTGTGTTAAACTCTGCGACATTATAATTTCTCATGACTGGGCCCTGACCTAGCACAGTAGCAGCCTTTAACTACCCGAGTCAATAATTGTCGTCATTCCATCTTAGTTACTCTGGAAGCCAAAAAGTATATTTAAGTTGAAGTGAAACAAAGAACAGTGCTGGACACTTTCTGTTAGAAGTGGTCTCAGTGGCTGGTCTAACTAAATTAGATTAAACTCTTTTTTCCCACCTTTGTCTCTTTTGTGAATTATCTTGAACTGCTTCATTTGGAGGTCCTGAGTGAGGTTTTTCCAGGAGTAAGATACTTGTGTTGGGGGGTGTCCAGGCCTCAATTCCAGTAGGCTGCTTCAAGGGGGTTTGGTACTGAAGCTGAGTTCAGCTAACCCTCTGGAAGTGGCTGAGGCTTGGTGGCCAAGGCTGGAATATACCTCTCATGGAGGTATATTGAATACACACTCCATTTGCCCCAGAGGGACCTGAGCATGCTTGACCTTTAATTTGACCTTTGCAACTCAATTGGCCCTGATATACATGCCAAGCTACAGAAGTTGGAGGGATTTGCATGGATACACTTCTCAGAACTAGTGGAGACAACAGGGGTCACACTCTCCAACACCAGGAAAGCGCTACCTGGCTCTCATTCTGAATCCTAAACTGGCTTTTGATCAAAAGGGCCCTGTCCCCACGGGGGCTGTATTTTGTTCGTTGTTATTTCCCTCTAGCAAGATCCCCAGTGGATGTTGTTTCTCTCAGGGGAGTCCTAAGAGGCTTGCTATGCTTGGTCATTTTGTTAGCCAAGATGACCTCTGCATTTGTTCTGGGTTAAACCATTCAAAAGCTTTGGAATTAGTGTAAGATAGGTCTGAGAGAATCAAATTTCTTCCCAAGATATTATTGTCTTTTTTTTTTGTGGAACTAGGGATTGAACTCAGGCCCTTGCGCTTGCCAAGCAAACGCTTATTCTACTGAGCTATCTCCCTGGCCCCCTGTTGTTTTTCTTTGTCTCTCCGAATTGTGTGATTTGTCTTCCCCAGTGTGTCCTGGGTCCTGGATGTGTCTGCACCCTGAGGTCACAATGGAATCAGTGTTCAGGGCTGGAGGAGTTCTCCTTGTCCTGCTGCTGCCCTTCCTGCCACTTGGAACTCCTTTACTGCTTTGGAAGTAGTTCCAGGGATGCGGGGGGCACCAAGATCAGTTTCCTTACATAGACTTCTTGGCTCTATGAGTTTCAAATGTTGTCTCAATGGCTCAGGATATGTGTGCATAGAATCCCTGGTTGTGTACTGGTTGTCACAGATAAATCTTTAGTGTCCAAATCCCCTATTCTGCCTTCACTCCCAGAGGAAGACGACCACCTCATCCTGAGTGCTGTGGCACCACCACCTCATGTTCCCAGAGTGGGGGCTCCTGAAGAGGGACTAAACCCACATGAGCAGGATGGGGAGTCACTACAGGCCCTCCACTGAGTGACAGGATTCAGGGAACCTACACTGTGCCTCAAAGCCCACCCTGCCCTGCTCCTGTGGGGAGGGAGGACATGGAAATTTCTGACCCTGTTTCCGTTCTGCCCCTAAGAGGCAATGCTGGTAGAGCAAGGAGGGAACCTCCACTCCACCTCAGTGTATGTCCCTTTTTCTACTAATGATTTTATATATTCTGGAGAAACCAGAATCCCTCATTCATGGAGCAGCCATGTGCTTTATTTGGCTCTTTAGAATCAGTGTTTAGGACATACTACCCCACTTGGGATGAGTGTCAACAAATTGTCTTGACTTTGTTTAAGGCAGATGAGAGAAATAGAATTCAAAGGACAGCAGAGGAACAGGTGAGATTAGAAACCAGGAACAACTCAGGAAGTAGAGCCAGTGGTAGCCTGCATCTGGCCCAGGGAGAAGCCCAAGGGAATTACAGAGGATGGAATGAAAACTTTAAGGGATCTTCACACTGCTCTGAGGAAAGGGCTCTTGTATGCTGGGTTGTCACCCCACTAACTTACACACAGTATCAGAGGTATATCAGGGACTGAGTCAGAGTCCATAGTTTTCCTTGAAGATCTCATGGAGGTATATTGAATACACACTCCATTCGCCTCAGAGGGACCTGAGCACGCTTGACCTTTAATTTGACCTTTGCAACTCAGTTGGCCCTGATATACATGCCAAGCTACAGAAGTTGGAGGGATTTGCATGGATACACTTCTCAGAACTAGTGGAGACAGTTCAGAAGGTGTTTCAAAACAGAGATGATGCAGAGTGCAAATATAGACAGGCAAAGAGGAAAGTGATGTCTGGTATGTGTAGGAAGCAAGCTCAGCTTAGACTTGGAGGTCACGGAGAAAGGAATAGATGGGGGTGAGGTTGATGCATGTCCCAGGACTGAATCAGTGTAGATGCTGGAAGGAAAAGGGTCATTTTAGGAAAGAGTGTCCAAAACTGATTTGTGAGAAGGGAGAAAAAGGATGAGTTTGTGGTGGATGCGGTGCATGAGTCAGATCGGCGGGGGCGTGGGTCCTTGTGCCTCAGTGCAAGGGAAACCAGGCTAACAGCAAAGACTGGAGGAAAACCCCCAAGTCTCCTGCTTGATACAGAGGGAGACTTATATGCAGTTATTCCTCTGATTGTCCCAGTCTCTAGGCTGCAGTATACAGGCTCAGGGTGTGACTTGCCAGACCTCCTCATATTCTTTCTGTGAGCCTCAACAGGTTCAACTAGGAAAACAAGAAGTTAGCACTCATTCCTGTTAATGCCAGGCTGCCGTTCTCTCCACTGGGCTGAGATCTCCTTTAAAAGGTGTGTGCTCCAATTTATTTTTCCTCAGAAGGGCCTGCTGTTGCTACTTGCAGGAGTAGCAAATGCCCCGTGGAAACTGGTGTCTCAACTGTGTCTTTTCTTCTTCAAGGAGAATACTAGCTGATAGTTGCCACTGTGTTGAGCAATCTGAGGTGCCACAGACTCTCCCCTAATGGAATCAGATTATATTTCAGGTTTGGGCTGAGGATGACCCACCGGCATCATACCCCAAGTTTCTCCTGTGAAGGTCTCTAAGAAAAAGGCTCAGATATGGGTCCAAACTCTGAAATTCCTTGGGATCACCTTAAAGGGAGGGATTCATTCATTCTCAACTCTCCAGACCTAAACTAGTCAAGGGTTGAAAGAACCAAAACCCCAAAAGGCAATATCTTATGGTCATGGAATGCAGGAAAGGTATAAAAGCCCAGATCCAAAGACTCCTCAAGGCAGTGATATTGAAGGAATGTCAGTCCCCCTGGAATCCTCTTTTCCTTTCAGTTTGAAAGCTCAGGACAAAATGGATATTGGCCCATTCAAGACTTAAGGGCTATAAATGCCTTAGCTGTGACCCTACTCCCTTCTGTGCCTAACCTTTACATCCTGTTAAGCCTGCTTCCATCTAGCCAGGTCTGGCATACTGCACTGGGTTTGAAGGATGAGTTCTTTTGTGTCCCCTTGTCAATTGCATCCAGGAATTGTTCCCCTTTTAATATGAGGATCTAGAGGGGTGATGTAAGTGCCAGTTGATATGGACATGACATCCTCAAGGATTTAAGAACTCACCAACTATTTTGGGGGAAGATTTATCAAAAGATCTGGTACTGTTTGGTGAAAACAATCCTAAATTTCCCTCTTGCAGTGTGTAGACAATTTTGTTGCTGGTCACTGAGACCCAGCAATTATGTGACATGGGAGACAAAAAGGCTGTTAGAGCAGTTACAGAACATGGGGTATTGGGTCTGTAAGAAAAAGGCTCAGATATGAGTCCAAACTATGAAATTCCTTGGGATCACCTTAAAGGGAGGGATTCATTCATTCTCAACTTTTCAGACCTAAACTATTCAAGGGTTGAAAGAGCCAAAACCCCCAAAGGAATGACGTGAATTCTTGGGTACAGTGAGGTATAGCCATCTGTGGGTACCACATTTGGCTACTACTGCTAAACCTTTATATGAACCCCTGGAGGGAATAATAACCATCTCCTGGACTGGAAGTTTGAAAATGGCAAAACGTGTTTGAGGAATTAAAGAGCTGCTTTGGCCCTAGCTCTGGCCTTGCCAGATATCGCTAAGTCCTTCCAGGTGTTTTTTCATGAGACAGAAGGAGCTGCAAAGGGAGTTTTGACTCAGATCTTGGGACCATGGGGGTGCCCTATGGTTTACCTATTTAAGAAACTGGACTACATGGCAGCTGGTTGGCTATCTGTCTTGTGGGCCATGGTTGCAGTTGCTGTCTTGGTGAAGAGGCTGATAATTTTTTTCCATAATTTTATTGAGAAACAAATAGCAATGAGACAGTTTCAAATCAAATTGTTAGGACAGTTTCAATAATAAAACACATTGCATACATTCTTCCTAATGGTTAATTGCTGTATAAGATGCGGACATGATATCCTATTTACAAACACCATTAGCACAAATCTCTCTATTCATTAGGAGAACGTAACTATATATCTATCCTAACCACTTTGAATACAAAATGTACATTCATTTGCATCCCCTTTTTTTGTTAAGTTCTGTTATTTGAATATTATAGGTGTGTAAACTCAGCAAAATATTCTAAAAGAGTCCAGTAGCCCATAATAGTATTGGGTCTTCTGCTTGACTGGCAGTGTCAGAAATTGTTGACCTGAGTCCCCTACAGCTCAGCATAACAGCATGGCTTTACTTCTTATATTTCGTTTTCATACTTTTTTGCTGGATGAGGTCCAACCAAGGTAAAGCAGGACCTATACAGCAAGAGTTGTAGCTTTTGGGTCTGATAAGGTCAGTGAAATCCCCTCAGGATTTATCCTGAGAACCTGTACCTCAGATTGTAGAACCTTTGTCAGTGTCAGCCATGTAGATGAGTCACGGCCATTGCTTGGCCAATGTGCTCTCTGTGAAAGCCTGAGAGAATGTTTTCTCTCCATGTGATTCTCCTTAGGCACATTCTACATCATCGATCACTTTCAAGAGGCTGATAAGTTGACTCAAGGACAGATGCTGAGTGTGTTTGTGCCACAATAAGTGCAGATGCTGCTGCTGCACTGCCCTGGTGGAAAGTGGCTGTTTGCTACCAACCTGGTTTTGTACCAAGGAGCCCTTCTTGAAGACTTACATTTCATTCTTGCAGAACTTGCAGGCCATTAACCCTGTTTCTCTTTTGCCAGTGTTGTTGGAACCCCTGAAACATGATTGTATAGAAGCTTTTTGAGGCTGTTTATTCTTCAAGACCTCACCTGCATGACCCAGCTCTTGAGGACCCTGAGCTCATCTTGTTCTCAGATGTCATCAGTATGGTATTGGGTGGGATCCGGAAGACAGGAACAGCCACTGTGGCTCGGGAACCAACTGTCCAGTCAGGAGCATTGCCTTCTGGTGCTTCAGCCCAAGGGCCAAATTGATTGCTTTTACTAGGGCCTTGGAGATAGGGCAAAACAAGAGGGTAAATGTTTTCTCAGACTCCTGGTCTCCTGCCACTTTCCATGTACTTTTGTGCCATCTACCAGGAGAGAGGCACAAGTTTGGTGGCGCTGCTTCTCTGACCACTGAAGTACTTAGAGACAGAGATAATGCAGGCCAAGTCAGAAGGAGGATGAGAAAGAAATGGATGGCAAATTTTGCCAGGAGGAAGAGTGCTCCTATCAGAGCAATGGGACATTTTGCATTTCAACAACTACATAGCAAAGCCCATTTGGGCCAGACAGCTATCGCAGAATGGCTTGACCACTAGTTTATATATCTAGACTTTGTAACCCTGTGTGCATCTGTGGCCAGTAAATGTGTGACTTGTACTAATAGAAACCTACTTTCTCACTCGCAATGGGAGCTAGGCATCCCCCAACAGGGAACCCTCCCTTTTGAGGACATGGAAGTGGATTGCAACAAAATCAAGCCTATGACAGGAAATGGACAGTATTTGTTGGTGCTTATTTGCACCTACTCAGGATGGGTAGAGTCCATGCTAACAAAAACTGAGACCTCCAGAGAGATGACGAACACATTGATGGAGGTAGTCATCCCCCAATTTGGCTCCCCATGACATTCCAGGTTCTCGGCTATGGATTCATCACTGACAAATAAAATAGTGGGTAGCTCAAGCCCCACTAGCTCTTCTACCACCCAGATCTTGTACACCTCGGAGTTCTCAATGGCTCAAGCAAAAGAGGTTTCCAGCCAACCCACTGCAAGGTACCCACTGCTCCAAGTGACACTGCTCCAAGTGACACTGCTCCTGTCAGCAGCTTCCATTGGATGACTGGCAACACCTCTCAACCCAGAAGAATAAAGGGGGCACCTCTGTAACTCCATCCTCAAAAGCCCACAATTTGATGCTATGGGACTCAGACAGGCTGTGCTTACTTCTCTGCAACTTCCCTGTGCTCAGCAGACTGAGGGTTTTCTTGTCCCAATATGTAAAATATGGAATCCCTGCTTTTGGAAGGAGAAGGCTTACCCAGCAAAACATTCCATCCCTGCTTGAGAAGTCCAACAATGAACAATCAGTCAGTACTCCTGTGAATGTGAGGTTGAAAACCCTGACATGATCCCAGTTCAGTCTGGGCTGCACTATGTCCAGACACAGTGGGGGGAAACTGTGACAAAGAAGAGGCATATTGCCCACATAGGCATTATGAGACGATCAAGTCTGAAGGAGGAACCTGCGATGGGGATCCCCACAGGACCTTGTAGCCTGCACACAAACTGATGGATATAGTTACGTGCATAAGGAAAGATGCACCTGTTGCTGCTCTGGATATTCAGAAGGGTTTTGCATCCAGGATAGAATTGTTTTTTAAAAATGTTGATGATCTGCTTTGGTCTATGGGACTCATTTGGGTAGTGCATATGTGCACTGTGAATACTGGCCACATTCCGTGGTGATTACTACTAGGAACCAACATGGGTATTTAGGCTGAGATGAAACAGAATGGGGACAGACACTTTTTGCTTTGTTAAATTGGGAAGTGGTCTTGGAGACTATGGAAATTGGATTAAATCTTTATGCATGTTCATCTCTCTGGAAATCATCTTGTGCTATTTCATCTCTATCTTGTATTGTGTTATCCTAGTAATCTTATGCAATTTCTGAATGGATTGCAATAATTGATGTTAGTAATTTTTCTATATAAGGAAACATGCAAAAATTATTTCAGGAAAATATAGGATGGAGGGCTGGTGAGATGGCTCAGTGGTCTAAAGCACCTACTTAGAAAGGGCTTGGCAAAGCACAGGGACCACGGTTCAATCCCCCAGCACCACATGCCAGCCAGCCCTGCCCCCTGGTGGGCTGAGCTGGCCACACACACACACACACACACACACACACACAAATAAATAAAATTAAAAAAAAAAGAAAATATAGGATGGAATCAAATTGATTCATAGGAAAAATGAGAACATGTATGATAGGAAGTATTTCTGGATTGCTGATAACACTTCAAGATCAATTAAATAATTTCTGTTGGGTATGAAATACACTGAGATATAAATTTTATCCAGCTGACTTAAAATTTTTAGCTTCCTATCCTTTGAATATATCTATATTACTATAATTTATTGTATTTTATTTTAATAATGTATTTTAAATTGTACATTTTTAAATTCTTTTTTAAAAAATATCATGATTGCAGTCTGATACCTAGAAAGGTCTCCTTGCTGTATAATTTGTGTTTTTTTTCATTCATACTCAAATTATCTTTATGTGTTGCAAAGTTGTGAATCTTAATTTCTGGCCTACGGGCCCTTGAAAAATTTTTTGTAAGATTTCTTGGAGAATTAGGAGTGTCTTCCTTCAAGGAGGTTTTACTTTGGTAGCTAATCATTGACAATGCTGTTTTACACTAATTTCATGACTGTTGATTTCTATGTTCTCTAAATCAGGTGTTTTCAGAGTAAACTTAGGCAGTGTTGCTCTGCAGCCACTATTTCTGAATTAAATCTTTTTCTCTCTCATTTCTCAATTTCCTCTGACCCTTCTTTTCAGGTCCTGGTAGTTGTGGACAGAGGAGTTGTCTGTTCATCTTTGTTCCACTCTCACAGGTATTCCTGCTTGCCCCCAGATTAGAGGCTGCCAGGATCCCTCATCGGGTGAGTTCTAGGTCTGTCATCTTGTTTTGTGGTCCACACATCCTGGAGAAGGAGCTCAGTCATGACCAATGTCCTAGGCTCAGCTTCAGGATAAATGTGGCTGTGGAAAAGTCATTTTTTGGTCATAGAAAACAAATTTTCTTAGAAGTTGTCATTTTCATTTTGTCTTTCCCTTCTTTCTTCCCTCTTTCCCCTCTTACCTTGGTTTTATATTTTATATTCTTTTCTCTGCATGTGTTGTTATGTAATTGTGTTGGAAAGAACTAGGCAGCCTATTATTCCTGCAATATACAATCCATTTCGTTGCTTTTCTTTGAGATTAACATCCTTACTAAGACCATCTGGAGTTTGTAATTTTTGAAACTTCTAAAGTGATCCTAGAGTATTTGAATGAACATCTGTGGTCTTGTTGTCACCCAAGTACACTTTCTGTGTTGATATATTTAGCTTTTGATTTAATCAGTCACTTTCATACCTCAATGCCCATGAAATTTGCTTCCCTATTAGCTAATGAACTTTCATAGGTGCCTCCAGGACAAGCCCGACTTCTCAGACTTTATAAACGAGGTCTTTGCTAGGAGATCTGAGCTCCATCGGGGAGTCAGGGGCAGCAAGATGATGTCGCAGACCCAGGTGTTCGCGTGCCTCTTGCTCTGCGTCTCTGGTGAGAAAATGAACAGATGCAAAGTCCCTTAGAGTGGAATCTTTGTAGATTCAATGATGTAACTTTAAAATGCAATGCAAAGTAATATGACCTGAATATATTCTAATCAAAAAAAGCATTTGCAGCAACATTTTAAAGGATTTCTTTCAAAATTTTTAAAAGATAAATAGTGTGTGTATGTGTGCTTATATAATCAACATGCATTCCTGATTGCAGGTGTCTGCGGTGACATTGTGGTGACCCAGTCTCCAAGGTCCCTGACTGTGTCTCCTGGAGAGAGTGCCACCATCCGCTGCAAGGCCAGCCAGAGTCTTCTAGATAGTGATGACAACAAGAATTACTTATCCTGGTACCAGCAGAAACCAGGACAGTCTCCCAGACTGCTCATCTACTACGCATCCACACGGGAGTCTGGGGTCCCAGACCGGTTCAGTGGCAGTGGGTCTGGGACGGATTTCACTCTCACCATAAAAAATGTCCAAGCAGAAGATGTGGGCGACTATTACTGTCAGCAAGTTTATGATATCCCTCCCACAGTGATTCATCCTCGAACAAAAACTTCCCCTTGGGTCTCCCCAGCTGCTTGCTCCCCACAGGGCCCAGGGCTTGACACTTCCTCCTGCTGCCTGAGAGATTGTGCCCACTCTATGCACGGAAGATTTTATAGTCCCTAGTAGAATATAAAGGAGCTCTGTGTTTCCTAGATCCTTTGCTATAGGAAAATACAGCAAACATGTATGTATTAATATTCTTTTATAATAATTTACAAACTCACACCCTTAAATGAAAAAGAAATTCATTACTTTATAGGTGTGCAGGACAAAAGCTAATGGCCTCAGTGAGCTAAAGTCAACCTATTGCCAGGCTGCTCGCCCTTTATGTGCTCTTCAATGGAACCTGGCTGTTGCCTTCTTATATCTTGAGTTTCTTACACTCCTTGGCTGGTGGCCTTTTCCTTCTTCTCCAGAGTAAGCAGCATGCCATTTCTCTGGCACTTGTTCCATGGTGACATTTTTCTCTGAGTATCCCTATGTGCTTTTCAAATGTGGCTACTAAGAAAACATACTTATCTTTCATGATAAGCATAACTGCATTTAGTAGCACATACTCTTCATCCTTCACATCTTGATTTCACTAATAAAATTCTATGTTTGGTGGAGGATAACTTTGGGTCTCCTTGGAAACCAGGTGCTAACTGAACCCATGAATGTGTTCAAAGTACAAAGGAATTGAGCATCTAGTTTGGGTCAGAGAGATACAGGAGGGAGCAAGGGTCCCATACACCATTTGAAACCATTTGAGATCCCTGAAGTACCTTCAAGTTGTCTGCATGAAAATGATTTTATTTTTGACATAGAGTCTTGCTATGTAGTCCCAGCTGGACTCGATTTGACTGGATTGGCCTTGAACTTGAAGTGATCTTTCTGAATCAGCCTCCTGAGTGTGGGGATGACAGGCTGAAAATGCCATTTCCTAGCTTGCTTGGACTATGATGCCCACAACAGAAGTAGAGATGCTCTGTGTTGTCTATGAAGCACATGGGTGGTGTGTCAAGTGAAATGCAGTGGTGTTCTGGCGAGGACTTTGCATCTCCTGAGAGTACACATGGATCTGAGCATTAGCAATACCCCATATGCATTCTACAAGCAATAGAAAATAACAGCGTGTGTCTTCAACAGGAGCAGTTGTCCAGACTCTATAGTCTTCCACCTTTGAGGAAACATGGACTCAGATCTTCAAGAAAACCTGCCTCTTTACTGCAGGGCAGGCGGCTGTGCAGTTTAGTTCTGTCCGGGATGAGGGACGATTGAGTAGACAGGGCTTCTGGGCACCCAGGAAATGTCCGAGGTGCTGGATCTGTCCTGTAACCTGAATATAGCTGTGGAGACACAGCCATGCATTTCCAAAGCCTGGCACAAATGTACACCAAACAGGTGGCTTGTAAGGTATGTAAATTTTACCTGTGTAAACAAAAATAAAAATATTTTTAATAGAACATAAATTCTGTCTCTTAGCTATTTGGAGGAAAATAGAAATAGCACAAAAAAATTCCAATTTCTAAGTGTGACAGCATCTTCCTAGGATGAATGTGTGAGGTCTTTTACATCTTAAGTCAGTGCTGAATAGGATAATATCATATGTAGTTGGGTGCTCCCATGTTTGGTGCATACATGTTTATGAGTGTTACCTCTTCCTCTTGAATTTTTCCCCTAACCAGTATATAGTGGCCTGCTTTATTTCGCTTGATCATTGTTGGTTTGAAGTTGAGACTGTCTGAGAATAGGATTACTACCCCTGCTTTTTTCTGAGGTGCTGGGGCATGTAGTATTATGTTCCATCCTTTGACTTTCAGCCTATGAATGTCTGTATGAGTTAAATGTGTTTCTTGTATACAGCATATTGTTGGAATTTGTTTTCTAATTCACTGTGCCAGTCTACTTCTCTTAATTGGTGAATTGAGTCCATTTACATTGATGGTTATAATTGAGATGTATTGACTTAAGATTGACATGTTATTTACCTGTTGTTGTTTACTCCTTTTTCTCCTGTGTTTAATTGCTTGCCCTATTTAGTTGGATGCTTCTGATCTCATTCATGAAGTTCTGATCATTTTGGTCCCTCTCTAGAACATCTTTCAGTAGCCTGTGTAGGGTTGGCTTTGTCATCATAAAATTCGTTAGCTGTTCTTTGTCATGAAAGTATTTCACTTCTCCATCAAACTTGAAAGAGAGTTTTGCAGAGTATAGTAGTCTGGGTTGAATTTGTTTTCATAGAGGACTTGAAGTACTCTGCTCCATGCTCTTCTGGCCTTCATGGTTTGTGAAGAGAACTCGGCTGTAATTCTGATGGGTTTTCCTTTGAATGTGATCTGCTTCTTTTCTCTAGCAGCTTTCAGTATATTATTTTTGTGCTGAATTTCTGGGATCTTGACTATTATATGTCTCGGTGTGTTTTTAATTGGGTTGAGGTTACTTGGCATTCTGTATGCTTCGGATGTCAGATTGTTTCCTCATATTTGGGAAGTTTTCTGCTATTACTTCTGCCCATATTTTTTTAATGTCATATGTATTGACTCCTTCTTTCTCATTGATGCCTATTAGTCTCACATTGTTCATCTTTGCATCATCTTGCAGGTGATGGATTATTCTTTCCTGCATCCTCATTGTTTTTAAGAAATCCTTTCTTATCTTTTCACTAGCTGCACCAGCATTCTTCTAGATCTGAAACTCTGTCTTCACTTTCACTTAAACGGTTTTGCAAGTTGTGATTGAGATTTTAATTTCCTCTATATCTCTTTAACTCTGCTTCATGTGATCTATTTCTTTCCTGTATTGCTCATTCAAGGAATCCATCATTTTTCTAATCTCCTCTATTTTTTTTAATCAATGTCTTCTTTAGAGGCAGTTATAAATTCTATTACTGCAGTGTCTTTTTCAGATTGGTTTTCCTCCCTATGTTTCTGTAGTTGATTCTTTACTTCAGATGCTATGAGTTCTGAGAGTCCTTTTTCTATTTCAGAAAAGAATTCTGCTCTGAGTTCCTCTATCACCTTCTGCTGTTACTTATTTACTATCGATGCTATTAATTCATACATTTGAGCTGAGCTAGTGTCCTCTGCATTTGTTCTGGGTGGGCATTGGGTTTCTGCCATAATTTTCTGTATTTGATTCCTTACTGCAGATGTTATTAATTCAGGGATTTCTTTTTTCATTTCCAATCTGAGTTCCTCTATACCTTTCTGCAGCTGTTTCTTTATTTCAGAAGCCATTGATTTTTTGCTTTCAGCTGTGTGATTCCCAATTTGTTCTGTGTTAGTGTCCTCTGCACTTGTTATGGATGGGCTTGAGTTCTGAGAGTGAATTTTGCTCCTTCTCATTATCATTTTGTGTAGCACTGTCTTCTGACCTTTGTTGTAGATCTTTGTTGCAGTTATAACCTTAGCACCTACTGAAGTTCAGGTGCAAATCTACAAAGTCTGGATTTATCCAGCTGTGCTTGGCTTGGATCTGGCTGCTGTGGTTAGCTCCTTCCTACTGCTGCCCTTGGGGATGAACCTGTTGTGCCCCGCTGGCAAGATGTTCTGCTCCTGGATTAGCTGGGTGGTTCTGTCCCCTACACTCTGCAGGGATTGCAGCTGCAGAGTTTCACCCCAGGCCTGTATGCCAGGCCTGAGCTGAGTCTGGAGGGGACAAGTTGGAGTAGGAGGGAGAGGCAGCTCTCCCACACACTCACTGGGCCTGGACTATGATTGGATCTGGGGGTTCCCGCAATGTGGCAGAAATTCCTACTGGGCAGGCAGGGTAGGGGAGGTGCTGCGGAGTGGTGGGAGGCATTCCAAGGGGGTGTAAGAGGGTCTCACCCGGGGTGCGCCTGGACTGGAACCAGTAGGTTGCGCTGGTGCAGGGTAGCTGAAAGCTCTCCCACACACTCACCGGGCCTGGGCTAGGACTGCGTCTAGGATAATATAAACATAAACTTAACAGAGGATACAAACACTAAAAAAAAGTAATAAAAGAAGAGACAAGAAAAAACTGTCATAAGATTGTCCTGCTACAATATTATATATGCTTTGATTTCTAAATTTCCGGGTAAAAATGTGCAATTTTTTCTCTCATATTCTATAGGGATTTAAAGGGTTTTTTTCTGTATTTTTTGGTAAAGGTCTACAGGGTGTTCAGGATCTCACTACTAGATCAAACTCATAGTAATTCTCCTGTTTACAGCCTCCCAAGTGCTGGGATTACAGGTGCACACCACCATGCCCAGTCTCAATTGCCATCTCAAAGGACCCTGGGGGCAGGCCCGGCACAGCAGGCCTGTGGATTGAACCCCATCTCCTGTGCCTGCTTGCAGGTGCTTTAATCTGCTGAGGTATTAGGCCAGCCCTGGGATTTAAAGTTTAGAATATCCATGGTTGTTGGAAAATAGCAGTTTCATGTTATCTCTAAGGAGTTTGATATTCAGACAGATAGTGATGTTAAGCTCAACTGCCTCTATTACAGGGTAATAGTATCTTTAAGCTTCTCTTCTGGAGGGTTAACAGCTGTAGTTTGCAGACCAAAAATTTGAGAAAAAGAGGAGCTACAAGGATAGCCAATATTCTGGCCCTAGCCCTTCAAGGTCATTGGGGACTCAGAACATAAAAGAACCTGTGCTGTGACATCCTGAAACTCAGTTGTGTACCAAACTTTCTGATTAAGGAGATTATGGAGCCACAGAGGAAAGTGATCGATTATGTGTGCCTAAGGAGAGTCACATGGAGAGAAAACATTGTCTCAGGTTTTTACAGAGAGCAAATTGATCAAGCAATGGCCGTGACTCATTCAGATGGCTGACACAGTCAAAAGATCTACAAACTGCTGTACAGGATTTCAGGGTAAAGTCTGAGGGGATTTGACTGACTTTTTCAGATACAAAAGTTACATTTTTAGTTGTATGGGTCTTGCTTTAACTTGATCTTAACCATCTAGCAGAAAAGTATAACCACAAGGTATAGAAAGTGATGCCATATTAATATGCTGAGCTGTAAAAGGCTCAAGCCAGCAACTTCTAACAATTGCCAGTTCTGATAACGCACTACTATTATGGATTATTGGACTATATTGGACTGTTTTGCTGAATTTGAGTACCCACAATATTTCAATGGGCATCAAGTGTGAAAAGGTCCTTTAAA